GAACAGTAATACAATTGATTACTTAAACCCCCACTGTTTACAAGAAAATTATATTTTATTTAATAAAAAATTGTTAATAAAATGTTCAATATTACCTAATCGTATTGAATACCATTTCACTACTGGTAATATTATCCCACTGTCCACTCAGGTATGTTTTGCACAAATCATAGGCTCTATCTTTCATTTTACTTATTTTTTGACTTTTAATTAAAAATAATAATTATATATTAATTTCTAATATAAGTAGAAATAATATTAAACAAATGTAAGTCTTTTTATATACGACTCAACTACAGTATTACAATATCTAAAACTTTAAACAAGATAATCGTTTCCTGGTGATAAAATACATATTAATTTGTAAGATAAGAGTACAGTTTGCAATGCTGTGAAATAAAGTACACAATGTAATAAGTGGGCATTTAATACATAATTTAATTTTTAATACATTAACAATAAACAAATAGCTCTAATAAAATATTGATATCTAATTTAATAGCACAATCATTTGTATAAATATTTGTAATTTATATGAATTTATTTGGTTTTTCTTATAAATTAAAAATGTAACTATTATACAATATTAGTTATTGTAAACTTAATAATAATATTTATTGCAATTAATCTGCCGTTCCGTCGCTGTCCTCGTCCTCTTCGGAACCCCTTTCCTCTAAATCTGTGATCTGCATAAGGCGTGTGTGAGACGGTGTGTCTAGGATTTCCAAAATTTTGAATTTTCCCGGAATATTTCAATATTACCATAGTAATTTTTTAATAAAATTGAATATATAATATTATTGTAATGAGATAATTATAAATTGACAATAACGTAGACATCAGTGTAATCCGTAATTACTTAACACCAGTTCCTTATGCTTACGATAAGCATTGAGTCTATCCTTTGAATTTTCCTGTGAAATGAAAAGATGTTAATTTGAATACAAGACTACAAACAAATAAATGCAAAATCACTACAAACCCAATATCCGTATCTCATGGGAGAGGTGCGGGCTTTTGTGATACACCAGAGGGTCCACAATAGGTGTGACGCGAGTGTGAAATAGTCGGCCTCACGGATCAACTGGTCCTCCGTTTCCCTGTCGATAGTCAAGTGTTTTGAGTGTCGGATGTATTCCCTGACGAACAGCCGTTTCTGGTGGTCGTTGGGATAGGCGCTGAAGTCGTGAAATAGTCGGCCTCACGGATCAACTGGTCCTCCGTTTCCCTGTCGATAGTCAAGTGCTTTGAGTGTCGGATGTATTCCCTGACGAACAGCCGTTTCTGGTGGTCGTTGGGATAGGCGCTGAAGTCGACCCAATAGTGCGGGTAATCAGGGTTTGCGTAGTCGTACAGGTATTCAGCGAAATGATTGCCCAAATCAAAGCCCCGGTAGTTGTAGGCGGCGTACTCGTAGTCAATGAACACCACACCGTCCTCGTAGGCGGTGCTGTCCTCAGGGATCAGTATATTTCCCTCCGCGAGATCGTTGTGCGAGAAGACTACCGGTGACCCACAGGTGCTGAGCAGTTGTCTCAACCATTTTAGCTCCGATTTGTAGTCAAAAGCACACATTTCCCGCTCCAACGAGGGGTTTGGTATGAGTTGTGGGCGGTTTGGGTCGGGTGTATAGTCATAGATATCTTGCAACCACTGGTCCAATATGTCAAACAGCCAGGTCGGTTGCTTTTTGATGGGCACATCCATGGCGTGAATTTGTGCAAACTTTTTGGCAATGATTTTCTGATATAAAGGATTTTTGATGTCTTGGAGTGTCATCGCCCGTGACTTTAGCATTAAATTCAATGAGAAATTAGTTAACAAAAGTTTACAATAAATATATTATTTGAGACTTTATTGAAATAACAGACGACTGACCGGAATATACTCCTCGAGCCGTCCGCCGGCGAACACACCGTACAGTTTGGGACCTAATCTGCGTTCAGACAATAACATCGTTATCAGCGAATCCGTCACTTTATAGTCGTCCNGGACCTAATCTGCGTTCAGACAATAACATCGTTATCAGCGAATCCGTCACTTTATAGTCGTCCCCATCGATGGTCTGGCCGTACAGTCGCAACAGTGCATCCCTGGGCTCATCACCAATAGGTTTATGAGTGTCCGGAAGGGAACAGTAATACAATTGATTACTTAAACCCCCACTGTTTACAAGAAAATTATATTTTATTTAATAAAAAATTGTTAATAAAATGTTCAATATTACCTAATCTTATTGAATACCATTTCACTACTGGTGATATTATCCCACTGTCCACTCAGGTATGTTTTGCACAAATCATAGGCTCTATCTTTCATTTGACTTATTTTTTGACGTTTAACTAAAAATAATAATTATATATTAATTTCTAATATAAGTAGAAATAATATTAAACAAATGTAAGTCTATTTATATACGACTCAACTACAGTATTACAATATCTAAAACTTAAAACAAGATAATCGTCCCCTGGTGATAAAATACATATTAACTTATAAGGTAAGAGTACAGTTTGCAATGCTGTGAAATAAAGTACACAATGTAATAAGTAGGCATTTAATACATAATTTTATTTTAATAAAATTAACAATAAACATATAGCTCTAAGAAAATATTGATATCTAATTTAATAGCATAATCATTATAATCCATAATCATTTAAAATCGTTTCCTGGTGTTTGAAATAAACAATTAGTCTTTTCTTAGGAAACTCCTAATGAAGCAATAAATCTGATTTTAAACATAATATAAAAAGATATGTCCATAGTTTACAAATTGTCTATAAAATTAGGCACAATTAACAAAATAAAACAAGCTTATTAAATCATACGTAAATATACAACAATTATTTTTGTAACTTTAATAATTAAAAAGTTATTGACGATTACAAATTCAACAATTTCTTACAGTTTGTCGTGTCAAATTAAATGTGAAGTTTGAAATAATATTAGATGATTAAAATGAAAGCTTTTTTCTAAAACACTTCTCGGAATATCCTATCAGATATTAATTTATTTAATTTTTCTTATAAATTAAAATGTAACTATTATACAATATTAGTTATTGTAAACTTAATAATAATATTTATTGAAAATCTAAACAGATGACAATAACTTTAATTTACAGAAAAATCATTTTCATATCACGGAATATAAATAGAATTTTGAAACAAGAATTATTATATCTGGTTCAATATATCGGATGAGTCCTGACTAATATAGGCTTATCTTTCGCTTCTTGCAAGCATTTTTGTTTACAACTAAAT